AGCTAGTGGAAAGATCTCAGACTTGGAGTTGGAACACCTGTGTGTGAGCCTGTTTTCATTCCTGTAGGAAAAGATTGATAATTCCTTCTCTACCACATTCTCAAACTAGGCAAACTACGTGCAAAAGTCCTCAACCAGCCGACTGTAAAACCCACAGGGACACTGGTTTGTGTGGAGGGAGTGGGCAGAGGTGTGGGCTAGGAGGAAGGGCGCTGAACCAGGAGTCAGGAGACCTGAGGCTTGGCCGTACACAGTGGAGGAGCCTCTATTTCCTTGTCTGCTCAAAGACGAATAATACATATTGCCCTTTCTACTATTGGCTACATGAGAGGTTATGATACAGATGAATATAGCCCCTGAAGAGGCTGCAAAGGAGGAGGCAGCCATTTTGAAAAAAATTAAAAGAATCCCAGATAAGTTCAGAGTAAAATAAATACAACTTTGCGGAAGAGTTTATAATGAGAAGCAACAGTACCCGTCCCCAGACCGCATTGCTAGGGCCAATCCTTGTCTCAAATTTCCAGATACTAGTTTTTTTTGACATTTACCTGAACAAACCCTCAGTAATATGTGTACACTGCTGTCTCTAGATTTAAAAGCTTCAGGATTTAGGCCATTTAGGTTCTCTCTAATTTTTTTTTTTTTTTTGAGACGGGGTCTCACTGTGTACTCTGTCATCCAGGATGGAGTGCAGTGGCGAGGTCATGGCTCACTGCAGCCTCAAACTCCCTGGCTCAAGTGATCCTCCCACCTCAGCCTCCCAAGTAGCTGGGACTACAGGCATGCAACACCATGCCCAGCTAATTTTTAAATTATTTGTGTAGATGAGGTGTTGCTATGTTGCCCAGCTGGTCTTGAACTCCTGGGCTTAAGTGATCCTCCCACCTTGGCCTCCTCTCCCTCTAATTATTGATCATTATATTTTATTTATTTATTTATTTATTTTGAGACAGAGTCTTGCTCTGTCGCCCAGGCTGGATTGCAGTGGTGCGATCTTGGCTCACTGCAAGCTGTGCCTCCCGGGTTCATGCCATTCTCCTGCCTCAGCCTCCCAAGTAGCTGGTACTATAGGTGCACGCCACCATGCCCAGCTAATTTTTTATATTTTTAGTAGAGACGGGGTTTCACTGTGTTAGCCAGGATGGTCTCGATCTCCTGACCTCGTGATCCGCCCACCTTGGCCTCCCAAAGTGCAGGGATTACAGGTGTGAGCCACCACACCCGGCCTATATTATAATTTTATAAATTTAAGTAACATACCCCAACCTCTGGTTCCTATTTATGGCATTAGAAAGTATCTCTTGACTGTACTGATTGAGGATAGTGGCACCTTGCGCTTCCCTGAGCTGCAATGAGGGAAGACATATCAATCACCTAAGATGAACCATCTTGTTATGGGGGGCGTTCAACTGAAACTCCTGAAGGTGGAGATGCTCTGACGGCTGTGCTGAGCATTCCAGATGGCATAGGAGTTCCTGGAGGCATCAAGACTTCCCCACTCCAATGAACAGCAAGGCCTGAGTTTGCTTGGATGAGGAAGGGCAGAGTTGACTGGCAAGGGGGTGGGAGCCTGGCAGGCTTTTGGGTGGTGTTGAGAGAACCCTTACTGCCTGGGGAGCGAGTTTGAGGTATTAAGGTGACCATCCCCAGTGTGGACCAGAAAAGGTCCCCAGCATCTAAGAGTAGGTAATGGCCCGGGCTGGGAGAGAATGTTTGGAAGAGGGGCTGCACGTCTGGGAGAGGTCAGAGCCAGCGGGATTTCCTTCAACTCCAGCCACTCCGGCGGGTGGGACCGGATTGCTCATGCTGGACACAGGAATCTGCCTTTGTTTCCAGCTGGAGGGGAAATGCCATAAATCCTGCCCCGTTCCCACCCCTCCAGCATCCGTGCCCAGGCTCTGCCCTTCCCAGGACCAGAGGGCCTGGGACTGAGGGCCCTCAGGTAAGTGCTTATTTCCAGGACCCCCAAATCCACAGGCTTCTGCCCCTTTTCCCCCAAAAGCAGGGTACTGGCATGGATGTAGGAAATAGGGGTCAGGGGTATCCAAGGTGGGTCTGGAGTAAATAGGAACAAAGAAGGAGTGAGGTTTACACCTGCTCACAGCTCTCCTTTCCTTTGGAGGCATCATGGACCTTCACAGTTAAGGAGGATGCCAAATTCTGAAGGGAGGACTTAAGGGCAGGGCCTGGGCCCCCCTAGCACCCCAACTCCTGCTCCGATAGCTGGACCATGAAACTCCGACCCGTCACACAGGCAATTTTCGGTGCTGAATGGCTGGGGCAATGGATGCAGTGTTGTGGGGCAGACAGGGCAGAGCAGGGCATGGGCCAGGAATCTAGGGAAAAGGGGGCTGTTTTTATTTTTTCCTGGTCAGTGAGTGTTTGTGCACCTGTGTGACCAAGTGTGTATATGTGTGCCTGCATGCGAGGCCCCGCTACGTGCAGCTGGCTGTTTGCGGACCAATGGGCTGTGCAGATGTCCGAGCCTGTAAGCCCCTCGCTGACGGTTTGTCTGTATGTGTCTGTCTAACCTTCTGGAGTAGATGTTGGCAGGAGCGGGGGTGTTGAGGAGGACCTAAACCTTGTCCTCAAGCCCTCTCCTTCAGATCTGGGTATTTTCCTCAGCAATGAAAAGGTCTCCCTGAAGGAAAGGTGAGAGGAGAGCAGGTGTAAACTTCTGTGTGAGCTGTGGCCGGGTAGGTCTCTCTCAGTGTGACCAGCTAAGATCTGATAGGGGGAAGGTCCAGACAGGCCAGGGTAAGGTGTGGCTGGCCTGGTAGTTGATGTGGCGGAAGATGCATGTGACCCCAACCATTTGGAAAGTGTGACTGCTGGAGAGGGGGCATCCTGTCTAGGTTCCCCAGTATGGAGAAAAGAGGACACAGACCAGTGAGTCCCCACCTGTCCTCTGTCCTCCCTACATATATGTACTCCCTTGCCTTTTTCTGGCAAGGGGCTTCCTGGGGCATGCCCTGGAATGCCCACTGCCGGTCCATGGATAAGAGCGGCCCCTGAGAGAAGGAGGGGGATGATAAAGGCCCCTCTGAGCATCCAGGACCTTAGAGGAGCCTGAACAAGGTTCTTCCTATGCACATGTTTTGAGCCTGGGATGGGTCCCATGCTGAGCCAGGGGCTAGGGACACAGACATGGTCCCTGCCCACACGGGAGTGAGTAGGGTTCCCCAGCAGTCCCCACAAGCCTGGCTGACGTCCCAGTGTGTGTCGGGAAAGCCAGCTCCGCAGTCCCACGTGTAGGAGCCCTCTGCCTGCCAGGTGGAGGGAGGACATGTACACACTCCGGGAGCAGCTCCTCCAGCCGCCAGCATGTGGTGACGAGGTGGGCTGGGAGTGGGCCTAGGGTAGGGGATGCAGAGACGTGTGTTTTCATTTCCTGGGCCACCAGAATAGTATCCTAGAACCACAGGGCAGGCCATGCGGCCCCAAGGGCACATCCACCAGCCTCCTCCACGGAGCTGCACTCTGGGCTGTTCCCTCCCCACCTGCTGCTCAGGTACAATCCCAGGCTGCTGTTGACCCACCATGCCCTGACCATGTGCCAGGCGGTGCCTCTCATACCCCTCACTGCTCGGGCTACAGACAGCCCTGGGCGGCAGCGATTATGGTCTCATCATCTGATGCTACACACGAGGTGACTCAGGTTGGGAGAGGCAGAGCTAGGACTGAAACCCAGGTCTGTCTGACTCCAAAGGCTTTGCAGTGCCTGCATTCCGCACAGCCAGGGACCTCACCGTGGATTTCTCGGCCTCTGCTGACAGGAACTGAGTCTGGGGGCTCTAACTGCCCTGGAGATGGCCAGGGATTAGAGGGGTGGGTCTTCTCCAAGGCAGAGAGGCTCCCTCTGCTGGAAAACATGCTCCAACCTGGAACCCAGGCATTACTGTGGGTTCCACCAGATGGACCCTGGCCAGAACAGAGGGGCCAAGAGAACCACAGAGGGCTAGTTCCCTGCCCTTGAAGGTACAGTTGTCACCCCTGAGCAGGTTGGAGGTGGAGGGAGAGGCTCAAAGAATCAGAGGCTCAAAGTTTAATCCTCCCTGGCTGTAAGCAGATGCCACCCGCTGCAGTGGAATGAGCGCAGGCTTTGGAATCTCACAGACTTGAGCTCTAAGCACCGCTTTGCCACTTACCAACTGGTGACATTGGGCAAGTTGCCTAACCTTTATAGCCTCAATTTCCTCCGCTGCAAAATAGGAAGGCTGTGCAGATTAAATAAGAACATGGAGGCCGGGCGCGGTGGCTCACGCCTGTAATCCCAGCACTTTGGGAGGTTGAGGCGGATGGATTACCTGAGGTCAGGAGTTCAAGACCAGCCAGGCCAACATGGTGAAACCCTGTCTCTACTACAAATACAAAAATTAGCCAGGTGCGATGGCGCATGCCTGTAATCCCAGCTACCCGGGAGGCGGAGGTTGCAGTGAGCTGAGATCAAGCCACTGTACTCCAGCCTGGGTGATAGAGATGAGACTCCATCTCAAAAAAAAAAGAAAGAAAGAAAGAAAGAAGGAAGGAAGGAAGGAAGGAAGGAAGGAAGGAAGGAAGGAAGGAAGGAAGGAAGGAAGGAAGGAAGGAAAGAAGGGAAAATGGGCTAGGCGTGGTGGCTCACAACTATAATCCCAGCACTTTGGAAGGCTGAGGTGGGAGGATCGCTTGAGCCCAGGAGTTCAAAACCAGCCTTGGCAACATAGTGAGACTTCATCTCTACAAAAAAAGATTAAAAAGTTATCCAGGTATGGTGGTACACGCTTATAGTCCCAGCTACTCGGGAGGCTGAGGCAGGAGGATCCTTTGAGCTCAGGAGTTCAAGGCTTCAGTGAGCCATGATCACAACTTTGCACTCCAGCCTGAGCAGCAGAACAAGACCCTGTCTCAAAAAAAAATAGATACAGATATAGATATAGATAAGGCCAGGTATGATGCCAAGTGCTGCGTCATCTCATTCAATTCTTATAACAGCCCTATGATGAACATGTTACTCTTACCTCTATTCTGCACGTGACACCTGTGAGGCTCAGAAAGTGTAAGTAACTTGTCCAAGGTCAAAGGCCAACTCCCAGGGAGGCATTTTGCCACGATGCTGTTCCACGACTATCGATGTAGCTTCTTTCTCTGTCTATGATGTCCAATGCCAAGGCTGGCTTCCTGTGTCATGATTTCAGCAGTGGGTGGGAAGGAAAGAATTCTAGCTCCATACTGGAGGCCCTGAAGCAGTTTAATCCAACTCACTTCCCTGGGGTTCTTCCTTAATACCTCACCTCTTAATAGTACTTTACAGTTTATGGAACTGTTTCACCCATACTAGCTAGTGGATCCTTCCAATAGTGGATCTTTCCATTTTCTCCATTTAACAGACGTGAAAGCCGAGGCAAGAGAAATTTAAGTGCCTTATTCAGGATCAAACAGATGACAGACGGCAAAGTTACCCTTGAAACCCTTCCAGTCCACCAGAGTGGCCTTCAGAGCTCTTCTGGGAGAAATCATGTATCATCTGACCCTATTAGTCATTTTCATCTCAGTGTGTGTGTGTGTGTGTGTGTGTGTGTGTGTGTGTGTGTGCTGGGGGCAGGGGTTGTGTATTTTCCCTATTCAAAGAGTGGATTTATTTTTTAATGTTTCAAAATTTGGTAGACATAATTAGAAAGTCAAAACGCTCTGTGCAGAATTCCATGTAATTTATCTAGATACTCTACCCTCAAGGAGATGGTGTATAACTCCCTACTCCGTTAGTGTGGACCTTGTATAAGACTTCCTTCCAAAGACGACAGTGCAGAGAGGGGGGAAAAAGGAACTTTACAGTGGAGAAAACCGACAAACTACGTGAGCCAGGTGATTGAGGTCGATATCAAGTGGTAAGTCATGTTCATAGTATATGCCTCCCTTGACATGATGTGAGAAAAACATTACCTCTGTTTGGAATCTTCCCTTCTGAAAACCCAAAGACCCAGTCTTAAGTTAATCATAGGAAAAACATGCGACAGGCCGGGCGTGGTGGCTTACACCTGTAATCCCAGCACTTTGAGAGGCCAAGGCAGGCGGATCACTTGAGCTCAGGAGATCGAGACTAGCCTGGGCAATGTGGTAAAACCCCATCTCCGCCGGGCGCGGTGGCCCAAACCTGTAATCCCAGCACTTTGGGAGGCCGAGATGGGCGGATCACGAGGTCAGGAGATCGAGACCATCCTGGCTAAAACGGTGAAACCCTGTCTCTACTAAAAAATACAAAAAACTAGCCGGGTGAGGTGGCGGGCGCCTGTAGTCCCAGCTACTCGGGAGGCTGAGGCAGAAGAATGGTGTAAACCCGGGAGGCGGAGCTTGCAGTGAGCTGAGATCCGGCCACTGCACTCCAGTCCGGGCGACAGAGCGAGACTCTGTCTCAAAAAAAAAAAACAAAAACAAAAACAAACAAACCCCATCTCTATCAAACATACACACACACACACACACACCCCCCAACAAAAAATCAGACAAACCTCAATTGAGAGACATGCACAAAATACATGACCAAAACGACTCAAAACTGTCAAGATCATGAGAAACAAGAGAAGTCTGAGAAACTGTCACAGTCAAGAGGATTCTGGGGAATGTGATGACGAAATGTAACAGGGGATTGTGGATAGAATCCTGGGATAGAAAAGGGATATTAGGGCTAGGCGTGGTGGCTCACCCCTGTAATTCCAGCATTTTGGGAGGTCAAGGCAGGCAGATCGCTTGAGGTCAGGAGTTCGAGGCCAGCCTGATCAACATGGTGAAACCCTGTCTCTACTAAAAACACACAAATTAGCTGGGCATGGTGGTGCATGGCTGTAATCCCAGCTACACAAGAGGCTGAGGCAGGAGAATCATTTGAATCCAGAAGGTGGAGGTTACAGTGAGCCGAGATCACGCCACTGCACTCTAGCCTGGGCAACAAGAGTAAAACTCTGTCTCAAAAAAAAAAAAAGTAAAGAAAGGTGAATAAATCTGTTTAGTCCTTTTCTGGAGAACACTACTGTGTTCTTTCCAGGGATGCTCCAGTACCGCATTGGGGGTTAGCGTTAAAAGCCTGGAGGTCACACTGGATGGCTAGATCTCAATCTTGAGTTCTGCCAGCTGTGGGACCTAGGCAGTTCCTTAGCTTCTCTGTGCCTCATGTCCTCAAAAATAAAATCCTCAGGATTACTGGGAGGGTTAAATGTGTTACTATAAATAGTAAGCACCTTCTAAGTAGTTGCTATCATTATTATAAACATACAAGCAAATATATTTACACAACAAAAGTGCTGAGAAAAATATCCAAAACCTGTAAATAAGGCCCCCTCCAAAAAAAAAAAGCTAATGCCCTTTCAAAGATATTTTAGATCATTGGCTAATAACCCCACCTATGGGTCAGCTAGGGGAAGTTAACTTTGTTTGACATGCTATTAATATTTACTATTGATAAGGACCCCGGCTCTCTAGAAGGACAGATTAACCTGTTAAAGATTGATAAGTGGCAAATTATTTTGGTCTAGTAGAAAAAAATAAAAATGGTTATGGCTTTATTGCCAGGTGTGAATTAACTTTTTGCAATCTTATTCCAGCATTCATTTTTTCACTGATTGTCAATAATGGCTTTTCACTTCTTTTTTTGATCCATCCTGCTGATTCACTCATTAAGTAGTTAAATAAATCTTGGTACTCACTATATATTTGTCTTAGTCATGTTTATCTTCGTGAAAATTTTACTTTGACAAATAATAATATGCCATATACACTGTTCCACTCCTTAGTTATTTTTACTTTATATATCTTGATGGTAGTTTCGTATCAGAATATAAACGGCCTCCTTAGTCTTATTTTGGAAACACTGTAGCGTATGCACTGTAAGGGTAGACAGCAATTACGTCCATAACCAATCTAGCCAGTCCCTTACTGATGGACACTTCGGGTGTTTCCACTCTTTCACTCTTGCAAACAATGCTGGAATGAATGACCTTGTATGTATATAGGTTGAGAGCAGATTTACTTAGGCAGAGGTGGATGGGGAGGCCGGAGGCACTCCGGAGGGGAAAGAAGCCCAGGGAGGGGCCTGATTACCTGTTCCCAGCCTGTCCTATCTCATCTTCCCCTACTTCTGTGCCATTCTGGCCTCTTCCTCCTGTTTCCTCTTCTCTATCCTGAGCTCCTGGTATCGCCAGAGAGGAAGGGCCAGACGTTCATGTCCCGCAGGACTGGGCTTTGGCCAGCACCGGTGGGGCGATGAGGATGCCTTGGAGAGGAGGATCTTGGGGACTTGGGGCCTGGGGCTGGTGCTATCCCTGGGCTGTAGCCACTGAAGGCACTTGCTCAATATGCCCTGAGGGCTCTGGTAGGGGACAAAGACCCACGGGGACCTCTGGGGACTCCCTGGTGGGGACTGGGGAACCAGAGGAGGGGGCGGGGCAGTGCCTAGCAGCTCTGGCACAGACTTGCTTCGGGTGCCCAGGGAAGGTGGGTGGTCAGGGCACAGAGTGTGGCAGGCAGTGGTGATGAAGGGACTGGCCAGGCTGGTTGTGGCAGTCACAAAGTGGTCCAGAACACCCCCGTCCTGAGGAGACAGGGCAAAGGGGAGGCTCAAGGTAGCCCGCAGCCGCTCTAGGAGTGAAGGGGCAACCTGGGCCTGGGCCTGGGCCTGAGCCACAAGCCCGGACAAGGCCGGCCACTCGGGCTGGTAGTGCTGGCTAAGCTGCTCCACTTGGGGCCTTCTCAGCAGCTGCCGAATCCTCCACACGGTGTCGAAACTGTCGGTCAGCACTGCCCATTCCAGGGCCGTCTTGCCCCGAACAGGGTCCACTGCTGTCAGGTCAGCACCTGGGAAGGGGCACAGGGGGTGACATGGGGCAGGATAGGGGTTGGAGATTTGCGGAAGAGCAGATTCTTTAGGAGCAAGACTGATGTGGGTTACATTCAAAGCCATAGAGTCCCATCCCATTGAAGGTGGAATCGGGAGGCCAGTGTTGCAACCTCCTGTTTAAGATTCTCTGTAAAGACTTCAGAGAGACCTATTGTGGGGCTCCACCTGGGCAGAATAGGGATCTCCTCAGTCCAAGGAGCTGGGCAGAGCAGCAGTACAGGCTGCCCAGGACAGGCAGAGGCCTCAGCGGCACCCTCTGGGGCAGGTGGGTGGGGATGGTCAGCTGGTTCCCTCTCCTGGTTCTTCTCTTCTCACCATCTCCCTCTCCTATCTTGGGGTTGTGGGGGAGCAGTCACTCTGAGGTGAAGGAAAGGGTGTAGAGCGCCCTCCTTTTTCCTGTACTTCTTTTCCATTCCAAACCCATTGAGGTGGGTGGGGAAGGGAAAAGTGGAGGCAGGGATCCCCCAGAGTGACCAACAGAGGGCAGCCCCACTGCGGGGAAGAAGGGCTCCCAAACAACTCCATGGACAATGTGGACTTCACCACACCTCCCCCTGAACAACCCCACAGAGCCACAGGCCTCGACAACTCTTGCCTGGGTCCCCTGGAAGCCTGGCTTGTCAGAGTTGGAGGTCATCCCAGGGAAAGCTAACACCCTCACAATACTGGTGAGGCCCAGAAAGAGGGAAGCCACTCAGCTAGGAACAGGGGCTGGTTCCAGATGCCAGCCTTTTTTCATGTTAAGTTTTCCAGCTGGGCTAGTTTCCCCTCCCACACTTTCCTTCCTGGGACCTCTGCACGCAATGTCTGAGCTATCAATAACAGGACTTGGTTGATTGTACGAAGCCCAAAGCATGCTCCCCACCTCTAGGAAGATGAACTAGATTGATCCCCCATCTCCACCTCTCTCCTCTCTGCAAAGAATCACAGCTGACTTAGTGTCTGGTGGGCAGGCTTGGAGGAGGGACTGGAGGCCACATACCCCGGTCCAGGTCCCACACACCTGCCATGAGGAGGGTGGCCACGCACTCACAGCGGTTCCGCATGGCAGCCTTCATTAACGCCGTGAGCCCCCGCTGGTCCCGGCGTTCCAGGTCCAGGCCAGCGTAGTAGTTGAGCAGGAGACTCACCAGAGGCACGTGGCCTGCAGGGCAGCAAGGGTAAGCTTGGTCCCCAGGAAAGGGGGTGACGAAGTTGCCAACCCACCCTCCACCCAGCACGACAGAGCCTGGTGGAGAACACCGTGCAACAAGGGTGGGACTGAGGCCCTGTCTGCATCAAAAGGGGGGCTGTTGGAAGTGGGGTATAGCAGCCTCACACCTGCTTGGGCAGCCAACATGAGGGCCGTGTCTCCTCCTTTGTCCTGCTGGTTCACATCAAGGAAAGGACATTGACTGAGCAGGGCCACAATACTCTGGAAGCCGCGGTAGCACGCGACCATGAGGCCTGTCTGAGGGAGGGGCAGCTCAGATCCCCTGCTTTCCCCCTGAGCCTCCCCAGGGACCCTTGTGCCCTCTAAACCCACATCTGTCCCAGAGTCTGCCCCAACCCCTGTGAAGACCCACCCTCAACCACTCCCTTCCTCCTAAGGACTGCGGGGGGTATTGCCCCTGAACCCCTCTCAGGGAGCCAGGCCAGGACGGTGTGGTGGGGACGCAGAGATGCCCCCAGCTGTCCTGGAAAGCCAGGACATCTCACCCTCCCATTGTTGTCCACCTGGGTGGCCTCCTCTGGGGAGACCCCGCCATCCAGTATGGCTTGGAGTTGAGTGGGATCATTGTGGACACAGGCCCAATACAGGGCCCCCAGCCTGCAGCCTGGGGTGGAGGTGTCCTTGCCCGGGCAGGGCAGTGCCTCAGACATGTCCAGCCCTCTCCTGCGCAATGTCAACTCTTTCTCTTCCAGGCAGGGGACAAGAAGGTGGGTCCCCCCTCTCATGCAGCTGGCATCTAAAACACAGAATGGAGAGGAGTAGTGAGTGTCTCCCTGGATCCTAGGGAGGGGACTCAGCAGCTGCGAAGCGCACAGCCCTCTCCCAGGGAAAACATTCACCCCAGCAGGGATCTCGCCCCATCTACCCTGAAAAAGGACAAGCGCTGGGCCAGGAGCCCTAAGCAGGCAGGGTTCACTCTAGGTCAGCACCCCAGTGAGACTCACGGAGAGAGGGTCGTCGTGTTTTCTTACTTGGGATTCGGAGGGTATCTATGAGGCAGTCAACGCGGGGCACAGCCCAGGCTCCGCGGAGCACAATCACCGAGTCTCCGAATGCCCCGAGGTGGACTATCCCTCCCCAGGAAGCAACGCAGGTAACAGATGGCTGGACTTTCACAAAGAGCTGCTGCAAACACCACCTGGCTGAGCCGGATCAAGCAGTGGTAAGAAGGGATTGGAGGGCCCGGTGGGGCGGGTGGTCACATCTCAGGAGCTGACCCAGACCAGCCCCAAGATCCTCCGGGTGGGCGAGGCCTGAGCCAGGCAGCTCCTCCCCGCCGGGGCGGGCTCACAAAGACCACTCCTCCTGACCGACACACCCACCCTCAGCCTTGGGGACATCGGCGGAGATGTAACCTCGTGGGGTCTCGGCCCAGCTCTTCAGGCCCAGCCTAAAACCCCTCCTCACTGGGTGAAGTGCGACTTGCTGAAGGGGTGGTTGTGGGAGAGGGTGTGAGTTGAATGCAGGTATCTCATTAAATAGGGTTGGTACTCTCAGAATGACTCTGGGGTGGGGTCTCCAGGGGTCACCTGAACTTATTTTTTGAGGTTCTGGGAAAATAAAAACATAATTGTCACATTATGAGTACAGAGCTGGGCCCAGTGGCCCACGCTTGTTATCCCAGCAACTAGGAGGCTGAGGTGGGAGGACTGCTTGAGCCTGGGAGGTCAAGGCTGCAGTGAACCGAGGTCGCGCCACTGCACTCCAGCCTGGGCAACAGAGCAAGACCCCCTTTAAAAAAAAATTGTGGCCAGGCGGGGTGGCTCACACCTGTAATCCCAGCACTTTGAGATTACAAGACGGGTGGATCACCTGAGGTCAGGAGTTCAAGACCAGCCTGGCTAACACGGCCAAACCCTGTCTCTACTAAAAATACAAAAATTAGCTAGGTGTGGTGGCGGGCACTTGTAATCCTAGCTACTCGGGAGGCTAAGGCAGGAGAATCGCTTGAACCCGGGAGGCAGAGGTTGCAGTGAGCCGAGATTGCATCATTGCACTCCAGCCTGGGCAACAAGAGTGAAACTCTTTCTCAAAAAACAAAACAAACAAACAAAATTGTGAGTACAGACATTATGTGTCTGGTGCAGGTGGGCAGTCAGGGCACAAAGTGCGGCAGGCAGTAGTGAGGGAGGGATTGGCCAGAAATTATGACGTATTAAACTTAATAGTTTCAGTGTGATAAATTAAATACAAAATATTTAAATTAAATGATTTGTTAATACAATGATAAACTGCTGTCAAAATATTCTTTAATATTTATATCACATATTAAGCTTGATGGATTGGTTTTGGTCCACAGATGTAGAAAATTGAGCCAATGATATTCTCCCATTGGTATCACTCCTATCATCAGACTGTATAAGACCTCTCTCTTATTTTGTTTTACTTTATTTAGTTTCTCTCTTTCATTCTTAATCCCCACATCCCATTCTCCTCCACCCTTTACCAACTGGCACTTGTATATCCTTGAAAATGTACATTTCATTGAAAAATATAAGTATTGATTTGTGTGTTTTTAATTTTTTCTTCTTTTTAGAGACAGGGTCTTACTCTGTCACCTGGGCTACAGTGGAGTGGCATGATCATAGATTACTGCAGCCTCAAACTCCTGGGCTTAAGCGACTCTCCCACCTCAGCCTCTCTAGAAGCTACGAGCTTCTCGGAGGCACACAGGTGTGTGCCACCACACCTGTCTAACTTTTTTATGTAGAGATGGGGATCTCACTTTGTTGCCCAGGCTGGTCTCGAACTCCTGGCATCAAGTGATCCTCCTGTCTTGGTGTCCCAAAGTGCTGGGATTGCAGGCATGAGCCTCCATGCCCTGCCTGTATGTGTTTTTAACTAACACGTTACAAATTGTGCTATAGGACGTATTCTGTTAGTTTTTTCTTTTTCACTTAATAGTGTGTTTTTAAGCTCCATCCTTGTTGCTTTAGGTGCAGTGTATCAGTTGGATGTGCATTTGGTTTTTAGTAACCAAAAAGCTGACCTCAGTGGTGTGTTGTCCATAATAGAAGGGCTCCTCAACATTAATCTAAAACTCCTTTTAGTGCTTCTTCTGCGCTGCAGAAGTTGGAAAGCTTAAACAACACTTCCCAGATTCCTTTGAGCTATGACTCTGTGGTTTGGGCTCTGCTCTTGTGCAAGATATAAATTTGGAACAGAGCTACATAGCATGGGACATCCGTTTTGCTGTCACAGGTCATGGCAGCAGCAGCAAGGCTCTGGTGAGCAGCTTCCTGATTCATCAGCTTCCTGTAGTAGTGACTGTTGTTTTCTCAATCACAGGCAGAGATCATGTGACTCTCAAAGCTGGGAGTTGTTCCTGGACCTAAGCCTGCTTCTCCATTCCTTTATTTCTTTTTAAAACTGATCAGATTTCTTTATTTTCTTTCTTTCTTTCTTTCTTTCTTTCTTTCTTTCTTTCTTTCTTTCTTTCTTTCTTTCTTTCTTTCTTTCTTTCTTTCTTTCTTTTCTTTCTTTCTCTCTCTCTCTCTCTTCTTTCTTTCTTTCTTTCTCTCTCTCTCTCTCTCTCTCTCTCTCTCTCTCTCTCTCTCTCGATGGAGTTTCGCTCTTGTTGCCCAGGCTGAAGTGCAATGGTGGGATCTCGGCTCACCACAACCTTCGCCTCCCGGGTTCAAGCGATTCTCCTGCCTCAGCCTCCCCAGTAGCTGGGTTTATAGGTATGCACCACCACCCAGGCTAATTTTGTATTTTTAGTAGAGACGGATTCTCCATGTTGGTCAGACTGGTCTTGAACTCCTGACCTCAGTTGATCTGCCCATCTCGGCCTCCCAAAGTGCTGGGATTACAGGCGTGAGCCACCATGCCCGGCCCAGATTTATTTCCATTGTCTGCAATTGAACTCTGATACATGTAGCTTAAACAAAGATGGGCTTGTTTTTTATATATGATAAAAAAGTTCAGGAATAGGAAACTGTTGATGTTGGTTAAGAAACTTGATGATGTCAGGGCCTTCTCTGGGATTCTCTTGACTTTTCCTCCTAGGCACAAGATGGCTGCTAAACCTCTAGCCATCACAGCAAAATGGGATAGATGTACACTATGGAATTCTATGCAGCAGTTAGAAAAAAATCTATCAGATGATAAACTGGATATCTCTGATTATCTAACAAAATCCCTGTTCATAACTCCCCTTCTCTCTAGTTACCTTTCAGTTAGGTGTAATCATGTAATGCAATTTTGGCCAATGAAATGCAAACAGAAGTCTGATGGGTAAGGATTCTAGGAAAAAAGTTCATGCTGTTGTAAATAAAATTTCGATGCTGCAAGGAAATAGCACTCAAACATAAATTTAATTTTCTCAGCAAGGCAATTTTTACTTCTATAGAAGGATGTGACTCATGAATGCAGCAATGGCAAGAGCACACCTGGACAGGGGAGGGGAAGGAGTTCTTATTCCTGACACAGGGCCCTACTGCTGTGGCATTCCCCTATTGGCTAGGGTTGGGCCACACAGTCTAAGCTAATTCCAATTGGCTATTTTAAATAGAGCAGGGGTATGAGCCAGAGTGGCAGGGTGGGTAGTTTGGTGGGAAGGATGGTTAGGAACAGGTAACTAAAGGTGACTCAGGTCAAAGCAGGTGACTGGGATGACTCAGGACAAAGCAGATAAACGGGATGAGTCAGGATAGAGCAGGTGACCAGAGAACAGATGTGAACTACCGATTAGGACTGGCAGGAAAGTTGTTTACTGAAACTAGGAGCAAGGAGACCAAAGAGAACCAGGAAGGTAAAATTTAAAATGGAGAATCAAAGAATAAGAGAGCTGAACATACTGACACACTGATGCTTTGAAGAGAAACTTGGGGTTCACTATATTTAACACTGTCTTGATGAAAGATGTGGGGTGCATCACTTTCTTCTTTCTTTCTTCCCTCTTTCTTCCTGCTTTTAGAATTCCATAGTGTGCATCTACCTCATTTAACCTATCACATCTTCCTGCGATAGATGCTTAAGTTGCCTCCAACTTCCTGTCACTATAAATAATGCTGAAGTGAACAACCTCATACGTATCCAGTTGTGGACCCATCGGGGTCTCTGAGATCACTAGATCACAGGGCACATACATACTTACTGAGTGGATACTGTCAGGTTGCGCTCTGTTTTGCCATATGTGCCTACCAGCAGTGCATAAGAGTCTCCCTACATCTTAGACAACACATGTCATTATTCAGTCTTCTAACGTTTGTCAATCTGATAGAACTATAAAGTGATATTGCTATTTTACATTGAATTTTTCTGATTATCAACAAGGTGAGCATCTCTCCACATGCCCTGCTGGCTACTCTTGTTTTCCCTCCTGTGAATTGACTGTTCATGGCCTTTGCTCAGTATTCTATTGAATTTTCCCATCCTTTCCTTATTGATTTTTCAGGAATTCTTTTAATATTCTAGATAATAAACCCATTGCCAGATGGGTTATAGATGAGACAACTGTATTATGTAGATCTTCCTGTTAGCTTTATCTATGGTGACCTTCATTGAAATAACTCCTGAATTTTGATATGGTTAAATTCATTAGAATTTCTCCTTATACTTTGCGCTTTAGGGTCTTATTTAATAAGAGTTTTCTACTCCAAGATCACAACGATCTTCATTTCTCTTGTTAATCTTGCAGTTTTATTTTTAATATTTAGTCTTTAATTCATCTGGAATTCACTTTTATAATATTGAAGAAATAATCTGTTATAGACTAAATTGTGTCTCCCTCAACCAATCTCAATTCATATATTGAAGCCCTGACACCAAAAATGACTGTGTTTGGAGATAGGGCCTTTAAGGAGGTAATTAAGGTTCAATGAGATTATTAGGGCAGGGTAGGGCCCTAACCCAATAGAACTGTTGTCCTTATAAGAAAAGGAAGAGACAACCAGAACTCTTTCTCTCTCTGTGCCTTCACAAGAAAAGGCCATGTGAGGACACAGTCAGAAGGTACCATCTACAAGCCAAAAAGAGAGGCCTCTCTGGATACCAACCCTGCTGACACATTGATTTTGGATTTCTAGCTTTCAGAACTGTGAGAAAATACATTTCTGTTGTGTAACCCATCCCGCCTGTGTATTTTGTTAAGGCAACCTGAGCAGACTAATAAAGAATCCAACCTTATTTTTTTTCTCCATTTAGCAAGATAACTCCATCTGTTAAAAATTCTCTCTCCCTTGATTTGTGGTGTCGTTTTTATCACATGTAAACGTTGAGTTCTCTTTTATGTTTTATGCCATGCTTCAGTTATCTCATAGCATCTTATTAGGGCATTCCTGTGCCAATGCTACGCTGATTTTATTACTCTAACCTTGTAGTCTCTCTGACTACCTGATAGAGTGAGT